GAGAAACCCTGCCCTACCCCGGTCCTGAAACACACACACAAATGGAAAGGTTGGTGAGATGGCTCAGCAGGTAGGTCCAGTTGCCTCTGAGTCATCTGGAGTTTGATCTCTGGGTTCCATACGATAGAGGGAGAAAGCCAACTGCTAAAGGTTGTCCTCTGACTTCATACTCTCTCCATGGCATATGTGTATACACACACATATGCACACAAAATGTATACTAATGTGTATAATAATAAATGTAAGGCTGGAGAGATGGCTCAGCGGTTAAGAGCACTGGTTGCTCTTGCAGAGGACCCAGGTTTGGTTCCCAGCACCCACAGGGTGGCTAACAACTGTCCATAACTCCAGTTCTGTGGGATCTGATGTCCTCTTCTGACCTCCAAGGGCATTGCATGACACTGGTGCACTTATATGCAGGCAATACACTCATACACATAAAATAAAATAATAAAAATAAAATATTAAAGAAAAAGAAGATGGAGTACAGTAGAGGAAAATACCCAAAGTTGACCTCTGTCCTCCACATGGACGTGCATGGGCGATCACACCTACAGACACAAGGATACCTCTGTCTCTCCCCCTGCACCCCCAATAAGGTGGAGAGTAGTAGAGGAAGACACCTGACATTGACCTCTGGCCTCCACCCATGAATGTGCACTTGCACACACACACACACACACATGAACACATACAAAAAAGTTTAAGAAGAAAAATCTGGGGCTAGAGAGATGGCTCCATGGTTAAGAGTACTGGCTGCTCTTGTAGAGGATCCAGGTTAAGTTCCCCATAGTCACATAACAGCTCACAACCATCCATGACTCCAGTTCCAGGGCTTCTATAGGCACAAAACATGCATATGGTGCACTGATATGCATGCATACTTTTGTACACATTAAATAAAAATAAATAAAATCTTAAAAAAAAGAAGTAGAAAAGTCTTGGGCCGACAATATGGCTCAGGGTAGGGCACTTGCCTAGCATGCCTGGCTTGCCTGAGGCCATAGGCTCAATCCCTGGCAACACACACACACACACACACACACACACACACACACACACACACCTTATCTACAGTAATCAAATTCACAAAGATAGAAAAATAGAACAGTGCCAATTTAGGGTGTGGTTCAGTGATAGAGAGCTTGCACAGCATGTGTGAGGCCCTCAACTTAAACCCCATCACTGTAACAACCACAATAAAAAGGTAGAATAGTGCTTGCCAAGGGTTGCTGAGAGAACGGGGAATTACTGTTTAATGAGTACAGAGTTTCAGTTTTGCAAGATGAGTTCTGAGCAGCTGAGGATGTTGCCCAATTAGGTAAGCACTTGCATAGCACATGCGCAGAGTTTAATTCTCAGCAGCACAAAAAAAGTGAAAGCAAACAAGCAAGCAAGTGGGAGAGTTCTGGAGCTACATGATGGTGATGGTTGCACTGGGACTTAATGCTGCCAAATTGCACACTTGAAAATGATTAAGATGGAGGGCACACCAGTGGCAGAAGGCATGTGTAGGCACACAAGCTTGTGCACATACACATAGCTTATGCTTGCTACACACTTGTTCTTGAAATTTTACTTTCCTAGTAATTCTTTAAATTGTATTTTATAAAAATATAGGTCCAACTATGAAGAAAAACCTGGGTCTTTTAAGCATAATTAGTCAGGGTTCTCTAAAGAAACAACAGGTAGAATGAATATATACATATATATGTATATATATGGATTTATCAGCTTAGCTCACAGGATAGAGTCCGAGTAGTCCAACAATGGCTGCACCACACCAGAGAGGCAGAGAATCCGTAGTCACTCAGTCCACGAGGCTGGATGTCTCAGTAGTTCTGATCTGGCGCTGATGGTCTGATGAATTCCAAAAGATCAGCTAGTCTTCAGTCTACAGCAGCAAGATGAACTTGCCCACAAGAGAGAAGGCAAGCAGCAAAAAGCAAGCACTCGCTTCTGCCATGGCCTTTTATACTGGCTGCCATCAGAAGGTAACACCCACATTTAGGGCGTGTCTTCCAGCTTCAGATGATCCAATCAAGAAGATGTCTCTCATTTCAGTTAATCCCAGATCCAGTCAAGTTGACACCCAGGATTAGCCATCACAGATAGTTTGGCTACTTGTGTGTGTGTGTGTGTGTGTTGCTGAGGATTGAACTCAGGGCCCTACACAGATTACGCAGTTGCTCTACCACTGAGGTACCCCATCTCCCTTTTTCTAACTTTTTCATTTTAATGTAGGATCTTAATAAGTTGCTCAGAAAGACCTTGAACTCGTAATCACCTCTCCTCAGCCTCCAGAATAGCTGGAACTATAGGCTTGTTCCACACTGGCCTGGCTGTGAAGATAGTTTGTGAAGAAATGAGACAGATTTGATGCTAGCTAAAGACAAATGCAGGGATAACAGGATTGGATATCCAGTTCAGTAGAGCACTTGCCTACTGAGGTTTGCCTACTGAGTTTGAGGTTTGACCCCAACACACACACACACACACACACACACACACACACACACACACACACACACACACACATATACAGGGAGGCCAGGCATGATGCATGATGGCAGAAATCTGTAAGCCCTGCACTTGGGAGGTGGAGGCAGGAAGGAGAATGTAAAGTTGAAATGAACCTGAGCTGCATATAGAAAACCTTTTAAGAGAAATATTTGTTATTTTAATGTGTATGAGTGTATTGCCAGCATGTAAGTAGGTGCACCCATGTCATGCAATGCCCTCAGAGGTCAGAAGAGGGCTTCAGATCCCCTGGAACTGGAGTTACTGATGGTTGTTGGCCTCCATGTGAATCCTCTGTAAGAGCAGCCAGAGCTCTTAACTGCTGAACCATCTTTCCAGCCCCCTGAAAACCTTTTTAAAAAGTGCCCCCCATGGGGCTAGAGAGATAGCTCATTGGTTAAGAGCACTGACTGCTCTTGCAGAGGGCCTGGGTTCGATTCCCAGCACCCACATGAAGGCTACAAACCGTCCTTAACTCCAGTTCAGGGGAATCCGAAGCCCTCTTCTGACCTCCATGGCATTGCACAACACGGGTGCACTCACATACATGCAGGCAATACACTCATACACTTAAAAAAAAGTGCCCTCAATACAATAATTAACATGTAGAAAGGAGACAGAAGTAGAGTTAAAAGTGGGTTGGAAGTCATTGTTGGTGGTGGAAGCTTGTAGACACTCTCTTTTGTTCATTTCAAAGTGAATTAGAAGCAAAAAACATCAGATGAAGGAAGACGTGGACAGAAGAGACGAATGTTCTGAAGTAGTTTTCTAGGCGGGTGGAAGACTGCAATTGGAGAAATGTAGTGTGGGCAAGAACAAAGGGCTCATTTGAGCACAATGACATCAGCTTTAGGGGAGCCCTTGAATCAGTCTGTATGGTTTGGGGTTTTCCCCCACCTTTTAATTTTGCTGCAGGTTCTGGACTGGAACTTTTGCCAACACAAAGAAAGTCAAGAAGGACTGGCAAAAGGAAAGTGAATACCTGGGAATGATTTTCATCATGGCCAACAGACTCTAAGCCACTTAAGGGAGTGAAGGTCTGAGGGCCGTGTGGGATAGGAAAGGGAGGAGGGTCAGTGGATTTTTGGATCTTGGTGGAGTTTAAAAGTGGGGCTGAAATATGGGAGAGAGTAAGCTGAAAGGCAAAAGGTGGTGAAGGGAAAGCTAGCTGATTAAAATCGAGAGTGTGGGACCCCAGGATGTGGGTTGGTGATAGAGCACTTGCCTAGCACACATGAGGCTCTAGGTTCATCCTCAGGACCACAATAAACAAACATTGTTAAAATGGGGATAATTACTGGTAATAGATGATGCAGGAGTGAGAGGCTGGAGGCAAGGGCAGTGTCTAGAGGGGAGGAACTTGAGAGGCCAGAGCACTGCAAGAATCAATAATCTCAAGGTGTAAATAAAAAATTGTTTAGGGAGGGGGGAGATTGCCAAGTGGTTAAGGATGCTTGCCTCCAAGCCTGATGACTAGAGTTCAATCCCCAAGATCCATGTAGTGGAAGAGGGAAACTCAGTCCTCCAAGTTGTCCTTTGACTTTCACATGCACACACACACACACAATAAATAAATGTATTTTTTTTAAAAAACATTTTTTTAGGGGCCAGGTGGGTAGTGCCCATCTTTAATCCCAGCACTCCAGGAGGCAGATCTCTGTGAGACGGAGGCCAGCCTGGTCTATATAGTGAGTTCCAGACTAGCCATAGGGAGACCCTATCTCAAGAAAACAAAACAAAACTTTTTTTTTTTTTTAAAGATCCATTCGTCTAAGAGAATGCTGAAATCACCAAGAACGATGACAACAGTAATGAACACCTGGGAATAGAAGCTGTCCTGGTTTGTTTCTCCATTGCTGTGACAAAATACTCTGACCACTACCAACTTGGGGAGGAAAGGGTCTATTTAGCTTACATATCCCAGGTCACAGTTCATCAGGGAGCCCAAGGTAGGAACTCAGGGCAGGAACCTGGAGGCAGGAGCTGGAGCACAGGCCATGGAGGAACGCTTACTGGCTTGATCCCTTGGCCCATGCTCAGACCGCTTTCTTATGCAACACAGGCCCACCTGCCCAGGGGTGGTACCATCCACATTGGGCTGGGCCCTCCCACATCACTCATCAAGAAGATGCCCTTCAGACATGGCCACAGGCTAGTCCAATAGAGGCAATTCCCCGATTGAGGCTCCCTCAACCCAGGTGTGTCAATCTGACACTAATGTTATCCAGCACAGAAGCTAAAATTAAAAACGAATGAGTGAGTGAACACCGGTCTATAGACGACAGAGGTCAGCGCGCTACTCTCCCCAGAGTGACGTAAGGCTTAAAGGCCCGGTAAAAGGGGCCGGGGAGGTGTGAAGTGGCCTTGAGCCTTTAAGGGGCCAGTGAACGGCGGGAAGGGCGGGGCAGGGAGCAGAGGCTGAGCGAGGCCGGCCGGAGCGGAGGCGGGGCGTCGCGGGGGCGGAGTCTGCGCTCCGCTCGGGCTGCGGCTGCCGCTGCGGGGCTACACTTCAGCTTCTCAGAGGACGAGGCCGAGGCCTGGGCCCAGCCCGGAGCCGCTGCGGGACGAAGCCCCCTGGAGCCCCCGCGCCGGCTGTTTTTTTTCTGAGCCCGGGGGCGGGCTCGGTCCCGGCCCGCCGTCGCACGCAGGACCGAGGCTGCACGCCCGAGGACCAGGCCGGCGCAGCCATGGTGAGCCAGCGAGGCCTGCCGACCCGCGGCCGCCGCCTGCCCACCCCCAGCAGCCCGGTGTCCGGGGGCCCCTCTTCCCGCGCTCGGCGTCCTGCTCCTGCGACCCGGCGCTCCGCATCCACCTGCTGGGGAGAACCCCTCCAGGGGGCCAGCCCCTCGGCTCCCATGTCTCTCTTTTGTCCCCTTGACAGCGTCCTCCGTCTTCCCCCCTGCCCCCCCGCCCAGCCCTTCCCTTTCTCTACCATTTTGATCCTTCTCCTGGATCCTTAGCCCTCGCCTCTTCCCTCCCAGTCTTTGCTTTCCGCGGGCGCCGCCTCCCTCTCCTTTTTACCCTCGCTGCCCCCTCCTCCCCGTGGTCCTCCACCATCCGTACTTCCGCCGCCCCGCGTGGGATGTCCTCTGTCGCCGGCTCGCACTGCCGTCCCCGTTTTCATCTGCGGGCTTGGGGGGTTAAGCAGGAGCCATTAGAAGGCTGTTGATTCCCACGGGCTGTTGGGCAGGGGATTCCTTGGCTTTCTTTCCTCCTTCTGTTTGGTGGGGGGCGGAAAGGGGAGATTGGAGGTGTGGAAGTGTCTGGAAGCCTTGTCAGTGAGTGTCATTGCAAAACCGGAGTGATGGTGTGCTTTTGAGTGGTGAGCCCGCTTGCGTATTGTGACCTTATGAGATCATCTAGCCTTTTGACGGAAATAGCCAAAATGTGTTGAAATTCTTATTTTCAGTGGGTTTTCATGTGGACTTACAGTTTGGGAAATTAAAATTTCTCAGTTTGCAGGCTTGACTGTTATTACTCAGAACAAATGACTTGTTTTTGTTGGGAGGCAGAGACCAAGGGCATTTGAGGACTGAAAATCAAACTGGCAGGCAGACTGTAACAGTCTTCTGAATACCTTTCTTCTAAAGGGTGCATTTGTTTAGCCCTTTCTTGGAACCTTTTATTTATGAATTCTTTTCCTACTTCAAAATAGCCTGTTCTTCCAGTCCGTTGTGGTTTTGTTTTTTGTTTTTTGTTTGTTTGTTTTTTCTTCCAGTGAATTATCTGTTTTTGCAGTGCATTTATTGAAAACATTGTTCCCTTATATACGATGAGCTAAATTTCTCTGGGAGGAATGATACATTCTCATCAGGGCTAATTCCCGATAGTTGTATTCTCCGTTTTTATTTCCTTACATTTGACTTTTAGGAAAGTATTTTGCAGTGCACCATTTCATCTGTAAACATTCCCTAACTCATTGAACTCCTGCATTCGTAGGTTGTCATTCTCCAGGTCTGCCTCCATCACTGTTACCACTGTCATTGTGTGCTAACTTGTTCCTTGCAATGGAATGTCAGTCTAGTGACTGTGCCTTACCTAATTCCTGTTACTCTCAGTGCCCAGTCAGGTAGATGCTTTATGCTCTTAACCACTGAGCCATCTCTCTCTATCTCTTTGTTCTTTTTTTTTTTTTTTTTCTTTTGGTTTTTTTGAGACAGGGTCTCCCTATAGCCCCAGCTCACCTGGAACTCACTAGGCCTTAAACTCACAGAGATCCACCTCCTGGGTGCTGGGACTAAAGGCATGCACCACCATGCCTGGCTCTGTTGTTCTTTTTTAAAAGATATATTTATTTTTAATTTTATTTATGCTGTGTTGTGTATCTGTGTGTGGTGGGAGAAGAGTACAGAGGAAGGCACTTGGAGCTGGAATCACAGGTGGTTGTAAGCTGCCCAGCATAGATGGGAGAGCTGAACTCAGGTCCTCTGGAAGAGCAGCAAACACATTTTTTAAAATGTGTTTAAGCATTCTGCCTGCATGTATGTAAGTGCACCCATGTCCTGCAGTGCCCATGGAGTCCAGAAGAGGGTGTTGGATCCCCTGGAACTGGAGTTAAGAATGGTTGTTAGCCACCATGTAAGTGGTGGAAACCAAACCCAGGCCCTCTGCAAGAGCAGCCGATGCTTTTAACTGCTAAACCATCTCTCCGGCCACCATCCCCCATCCCACCCCAGCCTCTTTTTCTTGAGACAAGTTCTAACTATGTAGCCCTGACTGGCCTGGGACTTGTTATGTAGACCAGGCTGGCCTTGAACCTACAGAAATCTGCCTGCTTCTGTCTCAAAAGCTGGGCTTACAGCTATGCACCACCTCACCCACCTAACAATGGTTAATAAGGATTGAGTTCCAAGAGCACATCTAGTCACCTTCTGAGTATGTAATATTTCTCTGAGACTTCAGAGTATGAAATATAGTTAGACACAGACTTTGACCACACAGAGTGTATATTCCTTGGCAGGGTAAAGGCTGAGCAATGCAGCACAAATCTGTAATTCAGTAATGGGGAGGCTGAGGTGGGAGGAGGTCATCCTAGTGCCATATGAGACCCTATCTTAAAAAAACACAACCGCAGCTGAGGAGACGGCTTACTTAGTAAAGTGTTTGGCATGCAAGCATGAAGACTACAATTTAGATCCTCAACCACCTAAAAAGCTGGACACAGCTGGGCTGGCACCTGTAATCCCAGTGCAGGGGAGGCTGAGAGAGGAGAATCCCTAGGTTTTACCAGTAAGCTAGTCTAGCTGGAATGAGTGAGCTCCAGATTCAGTGAGAGACTTTCTCAAAAAATAAGGTAGAGGACTTTTTAACTGGGAATTTTAATAAGTGAGGTTTTATTGAATAAGAATTTAAGAAAGAAGGCTAGTGAGATGGCTCAGTGAGTAAGGGTACTTGCCACCATACCTGACGACCTGAGTTCAATCCTTAGGATCCACATGATAGGGAGAGAAACTGTATTTTCTCAGGTTTTCCTCAACCTCCATGCTTCTGCCATTAACGTGTGCGCACACACACCATCAATCAATAAATGCAACAAATAATTATTAAAAAATAAAATGGAGGGGCTGAAGAGATGGCTCAGCATTTAAGAGCACTGACTGCTCTTGCAGAGTACGTGGGTTCAATTTCCAGCACCCACATGGCAGCTATGAACCGTCCTTAACTCCGGTTCCAGGGGAATCCAAAGAGAGCTTTGGACCTCCGCAGAATTGCACGACATGGGTGCACTCACATGCATGCAGACAATACACTTGTACACATAAAATAAAAATAATAAATAAAATATTTTACAAAAAAAATAAAATGGAGACTGAGGGCTGGAGACATGACTCAGTGATTAAGAGTACTGGCTGTTCTTGTAAAAGACCCTGGTTTGCATCCCAGCACCCACATGGTGGCTAACAACTATCCATAACTCCATTTCTAGGGGATTCTACCACCCCTTCTGTCCTCCAAGGGCGCTGCATGACACAGGTGTACTTACATATTTGCAGGCATAACACTCATGCACATAAAAAAATAAAAATTGAAATGGAGAGTGATTGCAGAAGATATCTGATGATGACCTTAAGACTACAAACACAAATCATACGATGGACATGAACCCACACAAAGCCAAAAAAAGAAAAGAAAATATTAACAGTAGCAGCATACACAGAGCAGTAGTGCTGGAGAGATGGGTCAGTGGTTAAGAGCACTGGCTGCTTTTACAGAGGACTTGGATTTGATTCCCAGCACCCACATGGCAGCTAACAACAGTCCATAACTCCAGTTCCAGGGGATCTGAAACCCCGTTCCTGGCCTCTGTGGGCACCAGGCATATATTTGGTGCACTTACATACATTCAGGCAAAATACTCATACACACAAAATAAAAATAGAATGCTTTTTTAAAAAAAATTTTCTGCATTGTTTTTATTTTATGTGTATGAGTGTATTGCCTGCATGTACGTGAGTGCACCTGTGTAGTGCAATGTCGCAGAGGTCAGAAGAGGGCTTCAGATTCTCCTGGAACTGGAGTTAAGGGATGTGGGTGCTGGGAATTGAACCTGGGTCCTCTGCAAGAGCAGTCAGTGCTCTTAACTGCTGAGCCATCTCTCCAACCCCAGAATGTTTTTTTAAAATAAATAATTAATAAAAAGAAAGGAAGGAAGGAAAGAAAGAAAGAAAGGAAGAAAGAAAAGGAAAATTCTTAGGGACCTGTGACCTTCCCTAGGGGTTTGTACTAAGACTATAATTTTTTCCCTTGTTTTTCTTGAGATAGGGTCTCCTGTATTTCAGGCTGGCTTTAAACCTATGTAGCTGAGGATAACCTAGAATTAATTTTTTAAAATGTATTTTTAATTATGTGTTTGTGTGTGTGAGAGAGTATAGGTGTGTGCACATGAGTACAAGTGCCCACAGAAGGCAGAACAGATTGTTGGATCCCCTAAAGTTGGAGTTGCTGGCAGTTGTGAGCTGCCTGACGGAGAAACTGGGAATAGAACTTGGGTTCTTTAAAAGAGCAGTATGAACTCTTAATTGCTGAGCCTTCTCTCTAGCCCCGCTAAAGGCATTTTAAATGATAATAATTAAAATGAAAAGCAACTTTAAAGGCAAAATTCTTAAATACCAGGACATTTCTTTTTAAAACCATGATCTCATGCAGTAGTTTTCATTGAGTGAGCATGCATATATCAGATAGTGTACTGAGTAATCTGCACAGCTCCTGAGGCTGACAGTGTTTTCTCACTGTTCAGATGAGAAGCAGGCTTTGAAGCTGGGTGTGGTGGTGCATGCCTTTAGTCCCAGCACTTGGGAGGCAGAGGCAGGCAGATCTTTGTGAGTTTGAGGCCAGCCTGGTCTACATAGCAAGTTCTAGGCTAGCTGTGGCTAGAGGGAGACCTTATCTCAAAAAGACCAAAAAAAATTTAAAAAGTTATTAAAAAAAAAAAAAGAAGCAGGCTTTGAGAGATAGCTTTGACAGAGCTAGTATCAGTGCCTTGTTTGAACATTTGGTTGGTGTGGCCCTGTAAGCCTGTGCTGTTTCTGATGCCGTCCCATACTCCATGAAGTTGTAGAGATTTAAACCATATTCAGGAATTTAAAATATTTTTACCTGGCTGGTTGTAGTGGTGTACATCTGTTTTTCTGCACTTGGGAAGCAGAGGGGAGGAATAGCTTTACAAGTTTGAGGCCAGCTTGATCTTAGT